CAATTAACAATCGTCATTTTTTTTACATAAAGCTAAAGCCATCTAATTGCAGATCGAACCCGAAGACCATCCCAATTTTCGAGTCCCCGATGTGGTCTCAAATTGGAGGGCGAACCTTTTTTGTATTGTTATAATTGAAATTCATTTTATTTCATAATAGGCATATGTTCTTTTATTTTATTTTTTATTTATTTATTTTTTTTTTGGTGAGGCATGGAGTGACACAAGCTAACACATTTCATTAATTATACTACTTCAACATCGAAATTATTTTTTTAAAATTCTTTATAACCTCCATCGCCAGTATTATTTAAAGAAGAAACGTTTTGGAGGTATTTTTAAAAAAATTAAGTTTGGAAAGGTAGTATAATAAAATGTATACAACAATGAATAGAAAATATTCGAGATCAGCATCTATGAGAAATGTATGTATATATATACATATATATATATACATATATATACATATATATATATATACATATATACATATACATATATATACATATATATACATATATATATAGGCTCTGAAACTTACTTGATTTGATTAAGAATTCTAATTAATAGCGGTACGAATGAGTTGAGATATCTATTTGTTCTGTCCGAGGGGAGGAAAAATGCCCCTCCCCTCCTCTGGCGCTACCACTGGTTGAGTGCGCTATGTCGCAAAGATATTCAGCGTTGATGATGGTGATAAGTTCGATTCACACAAACTGATATTACTTCATCCACAGTTCTGCTGAGTAAAGGGACTCATGCAACACAGAGTTCTGTTGGTTGGGATGGAGTAGCAGAAAGAGCAGTTGACGGTCGCAAGTCAGGCACATACGGCGACGGCACCTGCACACACACACGTAAGTTCTCATACTTAAATCGATAATTGTGTAGGATCCACGGAGGTTCATTCTACACGTTTTATAAGCTATAACGCTAAATGGCTCTACAGTTTTAGTATCGTCTTCACGCGTGACGTCTGATGATAATCCGAACATGGACGAAAAAGCAATGAACAGAAAGTTAGCAACTTAGCAAAAATGAAAAAAAAATTATTTAAAAGCAAAATGATTTTTGTTTGTTTCAGAAAACCAAGCTAATAACTGGTGGATGGTTGACCTTGGAAAGACGTTCAAAGTTAAATATGTGAGACTATACAATCGACAAGGTAGGTGAACAAAACACCATGACTTTAAATACTGTATAATAGAGTCTCGATTGCACGATGACGACACGATCAAAGCGTACCACATTTGTTGTTAACTTAACACGATCACATTTTCGTTTTTAGATTGCTGCAGGGAACGATTGAATGGCGCAATCATTCGTGTTGGAAATAACCCCAACGGTATGCTGACAAATCCACATTGTGGAGGGGTAGTCAACAATGCAGAGACCAGCGCATCGCAAGTTATCAGTCGACAGTGCAGCCCTCAACTTACTGGTCGGTACGTCAGTGTCTCACTCACAAGCAATTTTCTGACACTTTGCGAAGTCGAAGTGTGGGGAGAAGAAGTGTGATTCAACAATCTGTCTACTGTATGTTTCTGTGCATCATCATAATTCTTCCATAAAACAATTAGCTAAACTTTTATTATGAATATTCGGAATTTTTCAGTAGTAACAATACTATCTGGCAAAACCCTACAATGATTTAAACATTACTAACTAAGATCTATTCTTACAGATATCCCAAAAATAGAGGATGTATAGAAATTCAGCAGATGTAAAGCTTAGCTTACTAACAATCGCTTATAATGTTAGTTTTGAAAACAGAATAAAACGCAGATTCCGTGCAACATTCAGTCGCCTGTTTTCTGATTTCAGATTCATGATTACCTTACCATACCAAAGATACTAGACACAAGATAGAACTCTCCACAGATAAAATCTTTATTACCAAAATGCATGATGGGTATGCGTACTTGCATAAGTTTAGTTATCTCCCGCCGTATGCGGCGCCCAATTAAATGAGGCGCTGCGTATGGACAAACTTACGTAAATTGTCATCATTAGAAAGAGATTGCGTATACGGCACGAGAATGCGTAAACGTATGACGTATATCTGCTTAACATTTGCTATGCGAGAGTTCTATCTTGTGTTTCTAGTATCTTTAACCACACTACAAAATTCCACATTACAGTATAAATTTTATATAAACTGGTGACATTCACTAAATTTTAATATGCAGGCCTGTATTTCAAACATTATTAAGAAACACACAACATTAAAAATAACATGGTTATCAATTTAATCCACTTTTCTGTATGCTGTACTACGAGTTGAGTGACTAAGCATGGGCGCCGGTGAAATTTACAACATTAAGACAAAAAAAAAAAAAAAACACTGATGATGAAAGAGCGAACGAAGTTGATTGACCTAACAAGAAGATATGTCAACAAACATAAATTATTCAAATATATTCCTTGGGAAAATAGTAGTATTCATGGACTTTTTCGTATTCGTGCCATTTTCAAAGATACTCTGTTACACCTGGAATGATCATCACTAGGGCACTGGATTCAGGAGAGAAAACGGGGGCTAGGCCCCTCCCCTAAAGAACAAAAGAGAGAAAAAAAACGTAAGGAAAAAGGGAGGTGACCACGGTGCTGCAAAACAAGCTAATACTAATTTTTTGTTTAAATTCCATAGTCTATGGTTAAGAATTTTTAAACTAAAATCTCAAACACCACCCCTCCCCTTCCCACTAAATCGTCTGGATTCGCCCCTGGATCATATAAAATTATCAATAATGTGTTAACCTTAGCAAATGCATACATGCCCAAGCTACAGCATCATTTTCTAAAACACTTTAAGTTTAACTTTCATCCTCTACGTTCTCAGTTAAAAAATATTATATAATGTTTGCTTTTCCAATTAGTAGGACCATTTCGAGCATAACAGTAATCATTTTTTTTTTTTGCAAATTAAAGGTGTGTTTTTGTTCTATACAGTTCACAACAGGTCAAATCGTTAATGTATTTCTAATGGTTTTTATGTCGTGGCCTAGATATATCATAAATATTTTTGTCTGTTATTAGGAAGCTCTTGGTTGATATTAAAATAGTGATTAATGATGCGTTATTTTACTTTCAGTGCTAATACATCAGTCACTCTTCCACTATTTTTTTTTCACTCCCACCCAGGAGGTTATGTATTACCCCCCAGTGTCGGTTTGTCTGCCTGTTAGCTAGATTACAACAAAAAAAATAATGAATTTCATTTCATTTATTTCTCTCAAAAAAAAAATACAAAAAGACAAGAACAAACAGACGCAATGAGAAACAACAAGAGAGAGCGAGAGAGGAAAACCAAAAAGCGAACTTAATCAACTATCAAGTGGTTCCCCAATGCATAAAATAATACAATTATCAACAGTAAAGATGAATGCATCATCATAAAATTTAGTGGAATGGTACATAATAATATAAAAAAGGAGATGATTAACTTTTGGAAGAAAATGTCAAAGGCAAGGTCAAGGTCATGAAAATTCGACGTTCCCCTTGAACTTACCCTCGTACAAAAAAGAAAGTAATAGAATCACTCATAAACGGCCTGCGTATTGTTTGGTATCCAGACACAAGTTGGAGGTAGTAATCTATGGAGTGAGTGCTTTTAGCTTTCGTAATTCGTTTCCATAATTTGTCGACTGAAGAGTCAGTAGCAGGGCTCATACTATCTAGTTACATTCGCCATTCAGTCTTTACTCTACTTTCAAGGTTAAAGGTAGAGGTGGCGCCAGTGGGAGATGGGGGATGGGGATGGGGGTTGAGGGCCGGGAGCCAGAGCCACAATTCATAGGAGAGAAAAAAAATGTAGGCCTATGTATTTTTACATGTTAGTAGACCACTTTAAGCGACGTTCGACCACGCCCACTTTGCTTTCCTCGGGAAGATCTCGGAAAAAAATGATCGCGCAAAACGCCTCAGAGGTTATTTTCGGGCGTCTAGAAGACAAAAGTTTCGCGGGGGCATGCACCGGACCCCATAGGGTAGTGTTATCTCGATCGGCCCCACTTTTTTCCCTCTTTCGACCCCTCCCCCTCCTTTTCGGATATCTCTGGATCCGCCCCTGGTCAATGTTACACCGTTTTAGTAGCTTTTTACCTTTAGAAAGTACAGTACATATAGGCCTGATTAATCAATGTAAAAACATGTGTGTGGTGTATGTTTGTTTTCGATTGACTTTGATATTATGATGGGCATGCGCAGTTCAGACTACGAAATTATTTTTATGAATTTCATCATGATGGTTTCGCTGATTTACAATAATTTATTTGGATATGCACTTTTGAATCAGCAACACATAACCACAAGGGCGGTGCATCCAAAAAACATAACAAGGGATAACTGTTAAGAATTACACGCAAAATTAAAGTCATCAGAGTGTTTCCTTGATTTTATTTTATGATTTGACTGCAACCGATGAAGCCAGCATGCCTATGGGTTTAGGCTACTGCTTGGGACGATAATGGTTTTCAATGTTTTTAATTTGGTTATTTTGATAATGCTTTTTATTATTTTACTGATTTTATGATTTTTTTTTTAATTTAAGACCATAATGGAGATTATTTTGCTGTTTCGCTAGTTTATTGTGTCTTCATCCTTGAATATTATTTTAGTAATCAGAAGAAAAAAAATAGTACCACTGGTACTGCTGATGCCTACCTTGAAATAAAATCGTTTGACTGTTTTACAATAGCGCCCTCGCGACGAATGTAAATAAACCAACACATCGTGTTTATATGCTAAAATAAACTTGAAAATGTTGCACCCAATACTTTCAGAATTATCACTAACAAGAATTGTTTTAGCTAGTGGCTCACCAAGACGAAGAGAAATACTAAATTCTACGGTAACTAAAGGAGTAATCACTAAATGATATCCATATCAAACTTAACCTCACGGCAGACTAGCCTAGCCTTGCCTAGCTAGCTAGCAAACAAAGAACTGGTGGACGCTGCCGGTGCCACTTGAGTTAGGCCTAGCCTAGGCATTTACTGGGGACTTGGGACAGCCGAAGCCTAATAGTTTAGGCCAAGGCTAGGCTTACAATGGGCCAGGCCTACAATGGGCCGAAGTTGAGAGTGTAGTGGGTACTAAGCATAAACCCTAGCTAGCTAGACCCTAGATCAACCAACGTAGTTAAACACGTATATATATAGGCCTACTACTGATTGACAGGTCAAAACGGCAAAAAACCAAACCGGCAATAGACCAAAATGGCAATAAGTCAAAACCGCAAAAGGTCAAGATGGCAACACTTCCACAATGATACAACTCAAATAAATTTATCAGACCATTCCATTCTGATCAATATTTATTTCAGCATATCATATATTTGATATATCAGTTTATTTCTCATCATCAAAACATTGTACAAAAAAGATAAAATTCGCAGGACAAAAAAATATTATAAAAGTTGATGCAAGGATCGTCTATGAAAGTTTTCTTTAAGAAGTATCATTGCCGTTTTGGTTATTGCCGTTTTGGTCATTGCCGTTTTGGTCATTGCCGTTTTGGTCATTGCTGTTTTGTCCAGAAACCATCCTACTACTACTGCTACAAAAAGTAGGCCTAGGGGCCTAGGCCTACATAATTACTAGTCTAGAGATAGGGTGGAGGCATGCCGGACGAAGCCCCTGAACATTCAATGTGTAGGCCAATTCTGCAGTTCTATGCAGAAGAATTGATAATGAACGTACAGTATATTGTTTCTCTCTGTAAACTAAGAAGTAGACTCCTCCCCCTTTCAGTCGTGTTTACATTGGCTTGGCACTGGAAATGCAAACTCACTCAGCAGGTGGGCAACAAATCTGTTAAGAAAAGTAGAAAAAATGATAATTATCACATATCAATATCAAATACAATCAATTTTATTTGATCTTTATCTTATAATTTATATTCATTATATAATTTACGGACAGAAACAATATATTTGCATGGCGAAGTAATTAAATGTTGGGGTGGGGGGCGGGGGGTGGCGAGTTGCCTGGAAGAACCTGTCATGCCATATGCCCAGTGTTGTATACCAACATTTTGGGGTTTCTAGTAGGGCCTAGGCCTATTCTGTTTTTCCTGTTGTTCTTTTGCAGGACAATTATGCATTAATAATAATTATATGCATTAATGATATAAGACTGACATACTGTTTCGATTCTTTTTACATCTTCAAACAAATCTTTTTATTTTTCAGGGATTAACCTTTGACGTTATTCCTTCCAAGTTTGATGAAAATCTAGATAAAAGTCAATTTGAATCGCCTGTCGATTACGTGAAAGAAACAGCTAGAAGAAAAACTGATGAAGTTCGAGAAAGGCTCTCAATATCAGTAAGGATAATTAGACCATGTTTTAATCAAAAGGCAGCTGTTCACACTATTTCTATGACAAAAAACTGTTGTATGCCCATATATAGTGATGTGCCTATATATGGTCATGATGTGATGCGAATGCTGCATGCATGCTGAGTATGATCTCTTTTGCAGCTCAGAAGCATATTACAACCTGTCACAGGTAGCTCCTCTATTGGAAAATTAAATAAAATGCAGACATGTAAGACTAGAGAAACCACCCCAGTAAACAACAACATAAACAATTAAAAAATAAATAAAAATCTAAATTTTAGTTTTTATTTCTGATATTGAAATCTCTCTTTCACAGGGCAAAGCATCATCTCTTATCATTGGGGCTGACACAGTTGTGGTAAGTTGTTTTTTGTCATGAAAGCTAACTATATTTTGAATATTTAGAAGCGGAAACCAAGGCAACCATTATTCAATCGTGTATTTTCTTTGCAATATCTTGTGTCGTTCATCTTCATGCAGTTGCATGTTGATTAAACGCATAGAGACCTCTTTTAATAGGTTTGTGCTATAACAATTATCTGTGTGTCTACAGAGGGCGCCATAGCATGTGTATTATAAGATAAATTATTTTGTTTCAGGCTTTAGATGGAAAAATAATGGAAAAACCAACAAGCAAATCAGATGCAACTTCCATGTTGACAAACCTTAGTGGAAAGACGCACAGCGTCTATACTGGAGTAGTGCTAAGCAAAGGTAAGTTCAAAGAGCAGACTTATAGGTTATTGAGAAGGGGTTTTGGGGCGGGGGTTGTTACCAAAAATGAAAACATAATCCGGAATGACTTAACAATCTAAAGAAAAGCTCTACTCTCTGAGAGACATGTAACATAAAATTGCATTTATAAATTTCATGTTCTTTTCCATGAGAAGCGGAAAAAAAAGCCAAAAAACAATAGAAACTGGAAACATAAGCAAGACAGTGTTTATTATTATTATTATTATTTTTTTTTTTTTTTTTTTTAATTATTATTATTATTTTTTTTTTTTTTTTTTTTATTAAAAAAAAATAGCAACTGGAAACATAAGCAAGACAGTGTTTATTATTAATTATTATCATTATTATTATTATTATTATTATTTCTGCTGTTGTTAGACAAATGTTTATGAAACCATGACTAAGTAAGAAAATCTCTGGAAATTTATTGATCGAACCTGAAAACCTGCGATTAACAGGCGGGCACTACTTCCACTATATCATGACTCCCTTTCAATACATTTGCCTTTGTCTTGCAGTTTTACAAAATGGAACCTTGAAACAAGTGATCTTTCATGAGAAAACGGACGTGAAATTTGGCAACCTGCCAACTGAAGTAATCAAGAGTTATGTTGACACAGGTGAACCAATGTAAGGGACCTCTTCCAATTTTAAACATTTCAGACTATTAATGTTTGACAAAAACATGTGTGACATGGATATGTTCATGATGACTATATATGGGCATACAACAGTTTTTTTTTGTCAAGACAATTTTATAATTTAAATATAGCTTTATATTTAGTTTTTATTTGGAAGTACTGTACTAATAATCAAAATAAGTTTGGTTGATGGAAGTCAATTTTTTTTTTCAGGGATAAGGCAGGTGGTTATGGTATCCAGGCAATAGGAGGGACATTGGTGGAAGGTATCTGTGGTGACTATTACAATGTTGTTGGATTTCCACTGCATCACTTCTGTGTTGAAATGCTTAAGTTGTATGACAATAAAGGAGGAACACAAAACTAATTTTCACATATATCATTGTTGAAATGATGCTGCTACACGAAAGGTGTGGGGACTGTTGTCGCCTGGAATATGGCCTAAATGCTGTGATAAGCATGGCCTTGCTCTACAGATCTTGAATCATTGCCGAAATGTAGATGGTCGAATAAACACAAACTTGGTTCATATGATGGTACCAAATGAACTGAGGCAAAGCTGTCCGGTAAAGATGAACTTGCTAAACTTGTTCATATGCTGAAACTAGAGGTCTGATGCGTGGCCCGATGCAGGTGCGGATCCAGTAGGGGAAAAGGGGGTACGTGCCCTCCATTTTGCCAATAATTTTTTTAATTTCAATGCATATAAGTGTTAAGTATTGAAATAAGTGCCACTCACTAAATTCTTGAAAATGCTGTGCCCCCACCCCTGGCCTGATGCAAGGCATAAGCTGGCTGTGGTTAATGTAAACTTGCTGTACTGGTTTATATGTTGAAACCTGAGGTCTGAGACATGGCCTAAATGCTGGCATTAGCTGGATGTGATGATGTGGTAGAGTAGGTTCACAGTGCAAGATGGTCTGAAATAGGCCTAAGTGTTTTCCAGTGTAAACTGGCTGAATCCATCTGTGGAAGAGTGCCATCTGTGGTATTGAAACTACAGTGTATCTTTTAATCTGAAATTCCAATCCAGATTTTGATTAAGATATATTTAAAAAAAACACTGATAATGAGCATTTACTGTATGCATTAAATTCTGTCTGCTTCACACTTGTACAATCATATGTGTCAATAAAAATAAGAGGAAAAACAAAACCAAAATCTATTTTAGTTAGTTATACAAGATGACCAAAACAACTGTATGCATTAAACTCTGTCCACGTTGCACTTGTACAATCATATGTGTCAATAAAAATAAGAGGAAAAACAAAACCAAAATCTATTTTAGTTAGTTATACAAGATGACCAAAACAACTGTATGCATTAAACTCTGTCCACGTCGCACTTGTACAATTATATGTACATATGTATGTATTCTTGGGTAATATTAGGAACCATGTTAGATCAAAAGTTATGTCTAAAGATAATAATTACAGTATTAACTTTAGCACCAAATCTTGATAGCTTCAAATGAAAAATTCATGACGAGCGTGATACAATAAAAAAAAATTTTAAAAATAAATGGAATTGAAAATACAAGACGAACCCCAAAAACCACTCGGCTTGGCAGACACCCAAGATCTGAGATTTATCAAAGAAATACAGTTGAACTTGCCTAAGTTGAATCCAAAATGGCACTGAAAAATGGTTTGATTTGGATAAAATTCGATTTACAGATCATTAATTAATGGAAAACACAAAATTTGGCGTGTAAAAGATCAACTTAGAAAGTCGACTTTAGCAAAATTAACTTTATGACATAGTTGGTGAAAGTAAGACCTTGATGTTGGAACTGCTGATTCAAGCATTTCCAGACAAGTAGATTTCCACTAAACACTTTACAGTACAGTATAAAGAAAAAATTAATTAACTCACAGCAGAACACGTGTGACAAATGATACTAAAGAATAGAAAAATAATGAAGACATCAACATATAATATTTTACCCTCATTTATTTACATGATGTAAAACAATCTAAGAAAAATGTTGAATTCGCAATAAAAAACAAGAAACAGCTCAGATAATTGTTGTTGCCTAAATCACAAGCATATAATGCCCAACCATAATTCTAAAGAAAACACAAATAGGTTTTTACATAGGGTAATGCAGTAATATTGTACAGAGATTAGGTACAGAAAAAGAGTTAATAGCAGGAGAGCCCAACAGAGGGCACCCTATCAAAACGTTTTAATTTTAACCAAAATGCTAGGCAAGGGCAATATAAACAATTTTATCACCACACCAGTACTGTATCTGTTAAGAATACTTGTAAAAATATATCTTAACGTTTGTTTACTGTTGATAGGGAAAATGATTTCTAAGATACGCTTTGTCTTACACACACAAGAGAAGTTAAGAAGCTGTTAAGCACCTTAATGTCGGATACCATAAAAAAAAACCTTAGTGCAATGTAAAAAGTTACACTGCAAGATTCTCTTTAAATATCACCTTGTAATTGTGTAGTGGTCAATCATCAAAATTCTATGAAAAAAAAAAATTAACAGTTGAGAATTTTTTTTTTTAAAATACTTTACTATGATCATAAATTTTTAAGCTGTAAAAATTTATATTGCTGAGATTGGGATTAACTTTACACCTGAAGTAGCATCTTGCCTGAACTTACACTATTTGATGAGTGGAATACTCTACGCAACGATAATTGAGGATTTCTCCATCTTCGTAAATATTGTTAAGGGCTTGCCACATATAACAATTTTATTACTGAAGAATAAAATACGCTGAGCAATTATTGAAAGCATTTGATGTGGTAACTAGAAAAGGGATGGGGGGCATGGAATAAAAGGACAGAAGCACCTGCCCTTCTCAATTAGTTGGCAAGGTAAATAAAATTTTATTAGTTTAAAAAAACTCATTTTTGCTACAGCATTGGGAGGGGACGCAAGCTCTCCACCCACACTCATTAGATATGACACTACAAGAAAATGTACAATTCTAATTCTAAACACTAAACCTATATCTGACTGTATGTCTGTATGATATCTCATAGCATTTGTCAAAGCAATTTAAAACCCATTTCACACTAACAAAAGCTATACATACTCTGTAACATAATGTAACATATCAACAATGCATAACTACTTGCAAAGCCCAGGTCCAGACTACCAAGTTTTATTTGACAAAAAAATGTGACATGCCTAAATATGGTCATGATGACATCACATCATGACCATATATAGGTACATCATGACCATATATAGGCACATCATGACCATATATAGGCACGTCATGACCATATATAGGCACGTCATGACCATATATAGGCACGTCATGACCATATATAGGCACGTCATGACCATATATAGGCACGTCATGACCATATATAGGCACGTCATGACCATATATAGGCATGTCATGACAATATATAGGCACATCATGACCATATATATACACATCATGACCATATATAGGCACGTCATGACCATATATAGGCACATCATGACCATATATATGCACATCATGACCATATATAGGCACATCATGACCATATATAGGCACATCATGATCATATATAGGCACATCATGACTATATATGCCATACAACAGGTTTTTTGTCAAAGAGAATTTGATAGTGTGGACAGAGCTATAATTACCTATGGTATTCTAAATTTCAGTTTTTATATTTTCCTATTAATAGTCCTATAGCTTTGTATAGTAAGAGTCACATATAAAAGACACAATAGTGGCATATAATCCCACAAGATATATATTCAGTACTGTGTTTAACAATTCAGTTTAAAAAATAGACTAACTCATCGTCATTGACAATCATGGTTTGACTAAAATGATTTGAAACTATGTAACTCAATTATATTAAAAAGGATGTGGATACAAAAAAATATGACACATTAAAATAACCAGTTTAAACTAACATTTTTATAACTTGGGAAATGGAAAAATCGTCTAAATTTTGTAAAAATAACCACAATTTGGATAAAACAAGTTACAAACCTGAAACATAAATTGCCTAGTCAACCATCCATTTAGCTAATTAGTAAACATAGAATTACATCCCATAAACAAATATTCATATTATTTAATTTGAAGTATAGACATAAACCATCTTGTAGATTCAAGTGTACATACATATGTCAAAAGTCAATACATCAAACCATATCATTTACATTTTACTAAGAGTTGTTAAATATTGGATAGTAAAATGCAAGCAATTGTAAAAGGGTGTATTTTAATGTTTATATGCTGTGACCTTTGACATAGTCAGATTCACAAACATTTGGAACTATTAAAGGGTATATTGAAATTTGTGCTTCAGGCAAGGTAATGAGTACCAACAATTAAAAAAAAAAAAAAAAAAAATTACATGCTTAAGAATTTGGCAACAAGAATAAATCTGGAATTGGGACACAGACTACAAACGTGAGTACACAAAGGAACATACACAGTACAATGTTTCAAAATACGAAGGTTTAAAATTCTACTATAATATACAAATAGGCGAGAAAAAAAATTGATGTTCAACATTTAGCATTGAGAACTTGCAAAAGGCCTGGTCCTCCATTCTGTACAGATTTAACATGGCGGATTCTGACGCTACTGCTACGACGACAGGTTGTTCTCGTCACCGAACGCATTGCCATTCTGCACGTACGATGACCCAAGACCATATAAGTGACCTAAGTACTTGTCGTCATCAATGTTGTCTTCAAAGTAATTCTGAAAAACAAAAATAAAGAGATAAATAATCAATCAGTTCTATAAACTAACCAATCAACCAACAATCAATCTTTCAATCAACTGAATAACCAACCAACCAACAAATCATTTATCATATTGACCAATCAGCTGATCAATCTATTAAATGGACTAATCAAATAGCCATTCACACTATTATTAATCAATTAAACAATCAATCAAACACCAATCAATCAATAAACCAATTAATCAATCAGTCAATGGATCAATCAATCAATCAATCAATTATCTGGCACCCTACAGATGCCACATTCCTTATAACTATTAATTTAAATATAATATACGAGGCTTGACATTCCATAACCAATATATTGTCACTAATTATTAAACTGAGTACAGTAATTGGCAAAAGTACAGAAAGAGAAACCACAATACTTTTACTCATAACATTCGCAATAGTAAGTCGATTCCAGTAAATGATCCATCATTTTAAAGCTTACAAATGGAGAATAAGAATACATTAAAAAGTCAATTTTCATTTATTTATTTTTTTTTTGGTCACTGATGCATATAAATACCATTAGTGTGCAAGAATGTGGCAGTGAAGCTTTTAGGCCGCCCTCTAAACATGATGTCATAGGTTGAAGTCGTTGAGCCAAATCACATTTAATAGTTACGTCGACTAAGGACCGCGTCAGGGCCACCTCTTTTAAGTGTGAACAGTCATTAAATTTTAAGCTGAATTCTACTGAGGGTCCGCTATGACCTCGACCTCGACTGAACCATCTTCATATCAGAATCTAAACCAAACCTGCGTAGGTCAGGTCGCCTTGATAGCTTTAAAATTTGACTGCTTATAATATATTATTTCATGTAAAAACCTGGTGCAAAGGAGGAAGTGTGAACCTTCGCAGTGTGACCCTGAGCCGACTTAATATAACCAATGTGAAAGGAACGGTCGATTTAAGTGTGATCGTCACGATATGGCTCATCACTTAAAATTATGTTGAATTAAATAAAAATAAGTGACAATAATTTGTATTGTTTACATAATTTAAAATTAATTATGACAAAGATAAGATACCTCTCTCATCTTAAAAAAAGTCTGTAAGGTGAGTAAACTGTCACTCCCTGCTTGATGCTGTGGGCCTATTCTTGTAACCTATGAAAATAAAAAAATATATAAATCAATTTTTCATGCTTTTTAGAATGAAATCTGAAATCATTTTTTTAGACAGAATATATACTGTAATAATACTATAAACAAAAAAAGAACAAATAAAACACAATCAATTAATTCCAATTATAATAAAGTATGCACTACATATTTTGATGTACTACATTAACATTATGACTACAAATATAGAAACATTATTATATTATTACAATAGAATTTAAAAAAAAAACAAGTTTATTCAAATATATTTTTCTATACTTAAAAATTTCAATATTATGTATTCAAATTCATTACAGTAATATGAAATAATTTAAATGATTTATGAAAAATTTAATTATTTTTGATTGGCAGCTTTAAATTTATTACAGTACAATATGAAATAATTTAATTATTTTTGATTGGCAACATCTAATTTATTACAGTACAATATGAAATAATTTAAATGATTTATGAAAAATTTAATTATTTTTGATTTGTAGCATCAAATTTATTACAGTACAATATAAAATAATTTAAATGATTTATGAAAAATGTAGTTATTTTTGATTGACAGCTTTAAATGTAGTACAGTACATTATGAAATAATTTAAATGATTTATGATTTATTTTCGATTGGCAGCTTACTTCTAGATCATCTGCCACTTCCTGTAATCCTCCTTTCAGATCTTTGCAGCTTTTCATCAAGTATTTCACGTCGTAGATTCCGGGAAAATATATCCGTAAAAGTTCAAAGAACTCACTTTCTTCTGACGGTAAATTCAAAGCCGTCAACGACTTTAACAAATAAGCAAAGTCGTAACCACTACAAAAAGAAAAAGAAAAATCATGTTTTTACTTTCAGCGTCCCCAGTTTTCCCTGATGCTTACATGTATAAGTATACAAGAGAGATTCCAGGTGCACAATGATGGCAAGATCTTGGACGTAATGATGTAACATAGTTATTTGAACAACCTATGCGATTGTAGAATTTGCGATGTCTAACAACAATAAATATTTATAGTAATTGTTATTGTCGTGATGGAATAATAGACAATAACTGGATTTGCGTCAGGAGAAACATGTATAGGTGTAATTTTGCCCTACATGACGTGGAAATGTACCGAATACTCAGTACATTTGAAAACAACTGCGAAAAAAATTGCAAGTTGTTCTTGGGTGGAACTCAAACCCATGATCTCCAGATCACTAGCCTGGCATCATACCTCTAGACCACCGAGCTTGCGTTGGAGAACATAATAGAAAATGAACTTAACTGGAGTAGTCATACAGAAGCAGTTGTTAAATGTAATAGGAGGCTTTATTTTTTTAGAAAAATGAGAAGTTTTAATGTCGATACTAAAACTATGAAATTATCGTACGATCCTGTTATTAAATCTGTTTTACTTTCTGTTGTACTAATACTATTGTCTGGTTCAATGGAATCACCAACAAGAACAAAAATAGACTAGATTGTGTAAATAGAAAAGCGAATAAGATTATGGGCGTCAATTCTGGTAGATTACGTCATCCATTAGTCAAAACTAATAGGTTAAAATACTCTATTATTCCATCAGCAATTAACCTTTTTAATAAAAAATTTGTCAAATAATTCTACTTGCCTTAATTTTCATATTTATATTTTTTTCAATCAATAATTAAATGTTGCCATCTTTTCCTAATTGCTTTTCGATACTATATTTCAATTTAATTTCTTACGGCTGCTGATGACATTAATTTTAATAATAAATTAATTATAAATTCACTTTTTAAGCTTTTTTAACTGACACAAAGTGTAATAAATATTAAGTTAATAATAAAATATAACATTGTTATCATTAATACTATTACTATTATTACTTACACCATATGAATAATGCAGTGATATATTATTACTATAACTGCACTATATAACATTACTTTATAATTCCTATTTACCTGTGGAAAGTGATCCATTTGACTTCTTCACTGAGGACAATACCGGACGTCATTAAGAGCTCAGCAAAATATTCTGCATCGAGGCTTTACATACATGTCTAATGAATATTCATGTTCATGGTAGCAAATGCATTTATACACTTTAGAAGGAAATAAAATTAAGCTATACTTCCCCCAGAGCACCAGAAATAATGTATTTAAAAATATACTTACATCAGGTTAAATTTAAAATTAAATTGGTAAGTGGATGGCGTTCCTATCGGCAGTGAGCCCTTTTCATCTGAAAATGTTAAACCCAGCTGGATGATTTTTAAAAGGTCTACATTGCACCTATGAAGCTGGTAATGAAACTCTGCCGGACTTTTAAACTCGCCTATTGGCCTGGCAACAACGCCAGGAAATTCTGTATCCTAAAAAAAAAAAAAAATGATGATGATGATGATAAACAGAAAAATATTGGCTTGTTTAGTTTGGTATCCCAAATGGTGACTAATTTTGACAAAACCGGGCACTCGTCATCAAAAACAAAAGTCTTCAAACGACCTCAAATTTTCAAAATAATAAATTATCATATATTTGACATTTGTTATCTGTTTTTAACAATTTTTGCATTAATTATTAGCTTCTGACCCCTAGTTAAAAAGTCTATCTAAATATTATGTCATTTTTCATTATTGATATATTACATTATTATAAACTATTGATTTTGCAATCTTTGGAAGACTAAATATTTCCTAAGACCTACAAGGCTGATATCCAATGAATTATTCTTAACTCTGCTCTCAATCAATTCCCATCAAATAAACACTGTTTTAATGAAAAATTCATGCAGAACCTAAAAATAATAAAAACTAAATTTTTCTGCCAAATGGTGGTTTTAGCCAGAGCCGGTCACAAATACACAAAATTAATTAATAATATAAATGAAGGAACTATACACAAAAAATAAAGACTTAATAACAGTAATTACCATGGCAACATAAGGGTATTTTTGGACTAGTAACCTAATTTTTCTGAAGACCTCTTCCAGATTTGATGCCCATACGTCTACAATAACTGGCTCATTCGTTTGCGATGGCATAATGTAAAACAGTCTTTAAACAATTTGTATTTCAGATGCCCAGTAATTTCAATATCAACAGCTGAAATTATAAAAAGAAAACATAAACAAACATTCTTTACAGATGTATTGTCCCATGCTAAATACCAAAAAAATCATAAAAATATTTTTTGAAATAAACTTTTGAAGTAACATGAAAGTTATCAACTTGAACATAGTGTATTTAAAAAATGTCTACCCATCAGTTTACAGCGAAAAATGATAGAAACACTTCCAGTCACTGGAAGTGTTTTATTATTTTTATTATAATTTTTTGGTTTAAAAATCAGGGTAAACATTTATTTAATTCAAAAATTTTTTTGCACGAGTTAATAATTTGTATGCTATTGCAATATGAGCAAGTTTATTTAAAAATTATTTTTTTTAATGATTTTTTGACATTAGCAAGGGACAATACATCTAATACAATAAAAAAGTGGCGTACACAGTAATTTACTCACTGATTAAATATATGTATTCACTGTGAGACTTATGGAAAAATTACGGAAGAACAAAAACGAATTTCAAGGTTACTGACATATGAGGATTTTTACACGAATAAACAATGACTGGCGAACGGCATATACGACAACATGCAATAAATAAATCATTTGCCATTAGGGTTTAGTGTAGCAAAGAGTAAGCCTTGGCTATATAGTACTGTACAGATAGTGCAAGCGCCCAGTACGCTTGTTGGAAATGTAAACAAACGACTCATTTACGCCCACTGCTAGCAGTATTCGTAAGCACCGTGCATGGTTTGCTTATCTCTTTTCCACATGATTAACAGTACCGCACTCTGTACATCATGGATAAAAGGTTCGCTACTCTTATCCATCCCCAAAAAGACCAGAGTTTGTAATAAATGTTTTAATTTTACACCAAGTAACTGTCAGTACAAAGCAACATTCATTCTAAGTTTGCAGTAATGTAACTTAATTCTAATTTAAATGAGTGTAACTCTTTGGTTTATTAAGTTTACATCATACATATTTTATTTAATCTAACCTGTAGTGTCAAAGATCAATCAAATCAGTAGTGAAAATGCCCAGATTGCGTGAGCACCGGGGCTCTAGTGGCCCCCTTGGCAAATACATGCGGCACTGACTATTTAGTAATTATTATAATAAAATAGTAAAAACATGCAAATATTATGATTTTGTGGAAGATGGGTTATTTTCTGGGGAGATTCTTGCTTGCGGGAGCGCGGCAGGCTGACCTCATTTCCTGGAGATTCTCGCAAACTTTCTGAAATCTTAGACGACCCATGTAAAGACCTAAATTAGTTAGGGCAATAACAACAAACCTCCGATTAAGAAGGGAAAATTTAGGACTAATGATTGATAGTTTTACGCAATTAAGAATATTTTTATATTTGGCCTACTAGGCCTATGCAAACAAAAAATGTGATGATTGAATTGAATGACGTCGTTCTACTTCTGTCCTAAACCTATCTAATGAGATAGCTAGGCCTAACCCTAATGCTTAGCATCAGTACAAATATATCGTAATTATATTGTATTATAATGCATATTATGTTTCCCCACCTAGCCACCTTGTGCGGGGTCAAATAATCAATCAATCCTAAGCCTAGCTTAGGCTAGCCTAGCATTCTATTTAGGCTAGTTAGGCCCTGACGTGACATGGTTTTGTCTACCAAAACTAACGAGAATCACGTAGATTATCAAGCATATAACACAAAGTTAGTTTCTTCAATAAAGGGTGTAATCAAAGTGCACATGGGCCTAAAGGGAGCCCTATGTTTTACCTCTCTTCTCCGAAAAACAAAAAAATTGCTGCAAAGCGATAATCAGGCCCCTACGCTACATTCTAAAAAAACTGCACAAAGGTCAAATCCATCAAATTCAGCAGCAGCATTGAAGAACATTTTTACTAAAAGATTTATTTGGTTCAAAAGGACTTTCACTTTTAAAAATTACATTTAAACAAGTTGTAAATCTTAGAGCGTAATTACAATTTTTGTTAATTGTTCACAGACGATAAGATAATTACTGTATTTTAAAGTGTTGTTTTAGTCATCCTTCCACAATGACGTAATTACACACAAGTATACACTTCCGGGATCGATAATTGACCCCCATTTCATAATAAAAAAAAATTAGGTTATTCACACGGCGACCGATTTACTAACGGCGGCATTGGATAAGACGGAATTTATTGAAACAACACCTTTTGGTGATATGCGTAAAAACGGAAAAACCATCACAAAGTAAATATACAAAATGAAATCAAAAGAAAAAAAAAACAGTTTGAAAACACCGCAACAAGGCCAATATCAAATTGTACTAACTTTCAATTCTTTTCATTTGCCATGATTGTGTAGGGTAAACTTTACAAAACCTGACTCCAAAGCGAACGTCCAAAATATTTCAAAAATATGATCCCTAGATGAGCTTTCCCGACACTTGTGTAGTGTCTTTGTGACTTTTAGGTCTTCAAAAAGGTTCCGCTCTTGAACAGTAAATTTTCATTGCTAGGGTATATAGGCCTGTCATGTGTGTACCGGTATACATGCAGAAAAATAAACAATTGTTGCATACATATTCTTTTTTCCATGAATAGATAAACCCCAAAAAGAAAGGGGGTCCTCCCCCGGGACAATTTTGATTCCAAGGTGAGTGAATGAGCTTTCCCGATTTTTACCAGAAAAAAAAAAAAAAAAAATCAGCTCACGGGTCCTGAAAGGTAGGATTTTTATTTATTTTCTTTTGTCCAAGGGGGGAACTCCTGACCATCAGATCCGCCAATGAGGACCATCATTATTTTCATTAAGAGTGTTCGAAAAAACTCAAATTTAAATTAAAGACGAGCGCACCCTTTTAGGCCATGGTTTTGTCAAGGCAAGTAATTCAATTCAACAAAAAGTTTATAATTTGAACTGTACTGCTGTCTGTCGTGAGCTAAAATTGAAAAAAAAAAATTATTCCATATATTTGAATTTCTTGATTGGTATTTAATTAAGTTATTGAAGTTACAATTACACATTTGATAAACAATAGACCACAATTCATAGCTAGGCCTATACTTATTTATATCTTAAAAAGTAGAATTTTAAAAAATGTAGGCCTAAGCGTAGTTATATTTTGTTCAAAATTGTACTATTAAGTTGTGGACCTAAATATTTTATATATAAGAAAAACAAATCAACAAATGGAATAAGAACTAAAAAAAAAATAATAATTATCATAAAATTTGAATAAATTAACGTCTAACTTGAATAAATGTGGGTATTTAGGCCTATAATTCTTAGGCTTACAACTAAATATAGGCCTAGGCAATTATGAACAAAATATAAACATTTAAAAAATAAAATAAATATTAAATATTTAAAAAAATATCAGATAATTGAAAATATAATTTGTCTTTAATAAACTATAGTAATCATCATCATCACATTCATCATTATTATCATCATTGACATCAGCAGCATTGATTATCGAATTTCATGACAATGCCCATGTATCTACGTATACGTACCTTTGTCTAAATATCCGGCCGCCCTCTAAATAACATTGACTGTATTGCAAAACAAATGTCAAGTAATAATAATGGTCGTATGCTGTCAGTAGTCATATTCTGGGAGGTAGAATGGCGTGGTTTTTCAAGAGCAAAAGTGAACTTCCACCAGTAACCCACCTTCAGCAGAAGCGAACTCAACAAATCGATTCTCTAAAGACATTTAATCACAAGTAAGTCAGAGTAAAAAAGGTGTTTTCTTTGTTAAGGTAGGCCTAGCCCTAGGCTAGGCTCCATTCCGACTCCGTCCTCTTCCTCTACCTGGCTACCTACCTAGGCCTAGCTAGTAGGTTACCTAGAGGCTAAGTCTTGGGGCATATAACCTTCCTGGCAAGGCCGATTCATAGGCCTACCTGTGTAAGAAAGGAGATGTCTAGGCCTACAGACAATTGAACAAGACGAACAAACTCGACCTGTCTGTATGTAGCTAGGCATTTATATAAAATTATATTTAATTTGATTAAATTATTTATATAATTATTATATATTTTTTATAAATATATTGATATCTACAGTAATTAAATGAAAAGTACAATAAGAATAAAAATTGTGGATAAAAAATAATAAAATATGTTTTTTAAATTGTTCTTTCATATTTGTTTCCAAAGTGTTGCAGAAATAAAGCGGGATGAAGAATACAGAGTGTCGTTTACTATCAGTGGACATACAGTTGCACTTAATATGTAAGCCGTTTTGCATGAATTATGTTATTATTTAATATTATTTCATACAGTTTCTGTGACTATTTTCATTCATTCATTTTAATAGAGCTAAACATTTCATTTAATAAAATCTTCAACTGATTTCAAAGGAGTATGCCTGTAATTTGTATATAGTCAAGATGTATATATGGTCATGATGTGATGATGTCATGACCATATTTAGGCATGTCACATGTTTTTGTCAAATATAATTTGATAGTCTGGACAAGGTTTTTTAAGGCCAAATTAAAAAAATTAATAGTTTCTCATCCCCAATTTTTTTTTTTTTTTAATTTTCAAAATTTGGCTAACTTACATCAGTAAAATTCCTCTATCGATCGTTCGTGGTTGGGGATACATCTGTTATGAATCATGTCTAGTGCTTCTTTTATTTGTTTTCAATGTGTCTACTTGGTAAAAGTGAGAAAGCAGTAGCTGTTTACCATCGACCATCTTGGTTGCCATCTCAGAGTGTGAAAAAAAAGAAAACTTCCCTCATTCTCCTTTTAAAAAAATATTAGGATGAAAAACTAATTTTTTTTTTTACTTGGCCTAATTATTTACGATTACTGCTATTACTACTACTACTACATACTAATGAATTTAATGGCCAATTGTAGAAAATATCATTTGTGCCATCTCATTTTGGTGGTAAAAATATTTCTTTTTTAAAATATTTTTTTAAAGCTTATTTATTTATTCACAATATTTAACCAGGGAGGCCCAATCATTCAACCATTCTGGTTTCCCTTGGACCCTGGGAACAAAGCTAAAATTTAAAATGAAATACAAAGATTAAACACATCAAAGTAATAACAATGCAGTATCAAAATACAATTACAAGAATCAAAGATCTACTGTATAGGCCTAATATTATGCACCTAAGGTTACTTTTAAAAATATCTAAATTTTTTTATATTCTTTTATACTGTTTATTTTTAGCTATTCCGACCCTCTTAACATTATAGATTTAGTGTCAGTGGTATTGGTAATAACAATAAACAAATTTTATGACTCACCCACTGCACTATTTAGGATATTTCGGCTCCATTCCCCGGAGCCCTGTTCACCTCTCTGGCTTCGTATCGTAACAAGGGAGTGTGTTTTCAGGCCAACGTCTTCGTCTTCCTGCTGATTTCACACATTGCCAGTTACGATCAAATATTTTGAAGATTTTGATTGCTTGAAATAACATAGACAGTAGTTGTTATCATCATTATAAGTTGATTACTGACTTTCATTGTTATAATCTTGTTTCATTTCAGATCTCTTCCTCCACAGTTCCCTGAGGACAAACCAATTGTGAAAGTGTCCCCTCCTCTAAGACATAAATGGGTCAACAAAAGCATGTATGTCACTGGCTGTATAAGCTTAAATAATGTAAGAATTATCAATCGTCATAATTAAGTTGCAATTTAACACAGTGTATTTGATTAGTTTTTTGGTTGAGATGCTTGCCTTCCAATCCCAATCTCTCTTATGACAAAAAACAACTCCACTCCCCAGGGGTAGTGCCAGGATTTGCTTAATGAGGGGTCCAAGGTCCAGATGGGGATGGGGGGGGGGGGCTGGTTCTCCCGACGAAAGCAAAGGGTGCATTGTCAAGCGTCACTCAAAATGTTTTTCGAAAGTGGTCCAGGGGGTGAGGCCACCAAAAATGTTGACAATATAGGGGTTTCGAAAGCTTATTTAGAGTCTACTACTAATATGTAGAAAATAGAGGTAATTTTATTCCTCCCCGAGAAATTGTGATTTCTCTCCATGAAAGGGAGGGTGGCCAGCGCTCCCCGGCAGGTAGTATCTTTAGTTTGCTAGAGTATGCATTCGTATTATTTGCTCATATAAGGTAAGAAAAGTAAACATTTTCATGCATCAAAATTCCCCAGAAAATGATCGTAAACAAACCTTAGAGCAGCTTGATAGTATTAAACTGTATTCATAATAATTATACACCTACCAACTCTTACGTTAATGCGTAAGCAAGCCCGTAGCCAGGTCATTTCAAGGGGTGGGGGTTCTCTGTGCGTGGGGTCCAGGACACAGAATAAGGGCCCTGGTGGGGTCGAAGCCAGAGCAGTTTTTGTGTTTAATGGGTCTATATAATGTTATAAAAGCAGTTATGTTTTTAAAAAGATCTATGTAATAAAAGGTGGTAATATAATAAAATTGGAAAATATTTTCTGAGAATTGGCATGTTTTAATCACACCGAAAGACAAAAACAAACCTCATCGCATAATCAATACACTCAACACATTTATTAATATTATTATAAAACAAAACAAGCTATTTTATAGGCCTATAAAGTAATTTACAAAGATTTACTACAACTGACAGGGCCATCGTTCATTTAAGTCAGAGCCCAAAATATAGCATCATATTGAAAACATCATCTGACATCATGGGAACCTAAACTTTAATTACAATTATTTGTTTACTAGGCCTAATTCGAAATTATTGTTTTTAAGACTTTAACCTAATACAAACTGATTAATAATAGCTGAGATTTGATGCACATTTCAGAATTAATAATCTTTTTTAGTATCTTACTGAATATTTATTGTCTACCAAATGAAATATGAATTATATATGAATCTTTAGAAATACAATTTCTACAATATTACTCTTGTTTTTATATAGATAAATGTTCGATAAATACTATCTTTCATAAAACAATCAAAATTCGAAAAGCTGGCCTGCCGGTCTAGGTCCCAGACCAACCAATAATAATTAACAAAATGTATTATTTTTTTTAAATATAGGCATCCTGTACATGCACTTCAACTTTTACAACAAAAGCCTAGGCCTAGTAGTACGTCCTAC